TTGCCTCCGGAAACTCTATGAACAGTGCTCAAGCCTTTCATTCATAGGGTCGCTATGAGTCTACAACTGACAGCACCTAACAACAACAACAACAATCTCAGGAGGGAGAGAGTCAGTAAACTCAGAAGTATGTTGACTCTTAAGGAATACCTTAGTGACTCAGGGTGAATTCCAGCTTGTATTATGCCTCCCACAAATCCTGATATAGCATTTGGTTTATTATTAATATTAAATTTTATATTCGGCTTCCCACAAGTTGCACTGCCAACCCAAAGGCACATGGTTCGAATCCACCAGCTGCTCTGTGAGAGAAAGATGGACAAGCTCCTGTTGTGTGATTTACATCCTCTGAAAACCCACTAGAAAGTCTGCGCTGAGTGGATTTCAATTCAGTGATACATAACAACAATACATATGATTACTTCATTTTTTTCTTCACAATAACTCTCAACTACACATTCCCAGTTCACAAATGAAGAGACTGGGGCTCAGAGACATTAAGGACACAACCAAGGTTGTTCAAGAGCCTGGCTCTCCATCATATATGTTTAGCAACTATGTTCTTCCACCTCCCAGAAAGCATCAGGGCCGGGCTCCTGTGCATTTGAACGAGGCTGAACTCAGATGCACTGGGCAGGAGGCTGTGGGAGGCTGAGCCCAGGAACTGGTGTAGTTAGCAGTCCTAGAGCCGTGACACCCCTCCTGCTTCCCACACAGTTCAACAACCTGGGGCAGAGGGGCCTCCCGGTCAGCGTGGTCTTTTTAGTCCCCATCCGGCTGAACCAGGTGACTGTGTTGGATCACATCGAGACCTCCTTCTCCCAGGTAAGCTCAGCTGAGTCTAAGGAGGAGAGTTCAACTCTTCCCACCATGACCATGATCTTGCCAAACATTTGTTTCCCCTGCTTGGCTTTGAAGCTCCCACCTCTGGCCCTCACCCAGGCCCAGGCGGCCTCGCCTCTCCTTTAGGGGGAGATCGGGGACCCTCTCTGCTCTCTCTTCTCATTACGTCTCTCTTTCCTCAGGACCTTCAACATTCATGCCGTAGTGAGGACACAGTTCCCCCTCCTCGCACTGACTTTCTGGCTGAGATTAAGAAGACCCCGGTGGTGGTGAGCTGGACCTGTGGACCCTCACTTCACCCTTAGAGCCTGCTATGTCTCCCCACGCCTCTGGGCCAGATCCAAGATGAGGCTTTCCACTTTCCGGCTTTCACAGTCCCATCTCTTCTCCCCTCCCCATCCCAGAACTGCTCAGTGGCAATCTGCAGGAGAATCCAGTGTGACATCCCATTCCTCAGCATCCAGGAAAAATTCACGGTCACCCTCAAAGGCAACCTTTCGTTTGACTGGTATATCAAGGTACGTGGGCTTCTGAGGCTCAGCCAAGTGTGTTACTTCAGAGACGCACAGATTCAGCTTCTGCCCCACTCTCTCTCACAGACTTCGCATAACCACCTCCTGCTGGTGAGCACAGCAGAGATCTTCTTCAATGAGTCAGCCTATGCCCTCCTTCCTGGACAGGAAGTGTTCGTGAAAGCTCAGGTAGCCTCCAGGACATGGAGGCAGGAGGGGAGGCTGGGGAGAGAGAATTCAAACCTGTTGCTGTTGAAGCTTTGATTCACGTGGGAGGAGATTGCCCATCTTTCTCCTGCAGAGTCCCTGGTGGATTTGAACCACACGCCTTTGGATTGGCAGCACAACTCCTTACTACTAAGCCACCAGAGCCCCTAAAGAGAGAAAAAGAGAGAGGGGGAAGGAGTTGGGGTGAAGTGAGGGCTGGAGTGGAGAGGCTAGCGGATTAGGGGTGGAGGCAGCGTTCAGAGAGCACTCAGGGTCTGTTTGGGGACACCCCCAGAAATCCACAGTCTGTCTTCTCTGAGGGGTCTCCTTCCTTGTTACTCTCCCCAGGCAGAAACCAAAGTAGAAGAGTATGAAGTGCACGACCCGTTGCCTCTGATCGTGGGCAGCTCGGTGGGCGGACTGGTGCTCCTGGCGCTCATCACGGCCGCTCTGTACAAGGTGCGTCCTTCTTCCCTCCTCCCCCCTGCTCTCTCCATCTTCCTGCCGCTCCAGCCCTCTCCAGGCAGTCACTCGGCTTCCTCCGTTTGACTCCCAGCATTAAATGTAACTGTGGCCACTCAACAAGACTACAGTCCTCAGTTTCTTCAGCTGTAAAATGGGACAAAGCACCCACCGTGTGGGATACTTGGGAGTTCTCACGTCCTGGTCAGTGCTGCTGACCTGAAGATGGTGCCTCTCTGGTGGTTCAAATCCGACAGCAGGAAATCTCCTCCTGTGTGTGACTTATAGCCTTGGAAACACGCCTGAGGGTCAGCTATGACTTGACAGCAATACGTTTTTGGAGAATTTGTGGGATAATGAAAGTATGTGGGCTGATATATGTAGAGCACTTAGACTGGCCCCTGGCACAGCATGACCACTATAAAAGGAAGTTATTTTTTTATTTAATTATTTTTTTGTGTGTATGTGTACTGTCAGATCAGATCTGACTGGCACAGGAGGAGATTGTTCCTCCTTCCCCAGCAGAGCATCTGGTGGATTTGAACCGTGCACCTCTGGGATTGCAGTGCAGCTTCTTGCCACTAGGCCACCAGAGCTCGCCATGGAAGTTATTTTTGTTGTTATAGTTTGTATTTTCCCTCTCCCGGGCCCCATTATCAATACTTCCCCCTCCTCTGCCCCATTTCCCCAGGTCCATCTCTACTGTGTTCTTGGCCTCTTGGTCCTCAGGCTCCCTTCCTGATTTGCATAACTCACACTTGCTCCCCTGGTTTATGTGACCCTGAAACACCTCATCTCTCTCCCCACAGCTTGGCTTTTTCAAACGGCAGTACAAGGACATGATGAGCGAGGCTGCTCCCCCAGAAGCCCCACCCCAGTAACAGCTCCTCCCCAGCACAGAGTGGAATGTTGGTCAAACTAAAGGGCAGGTCCCCAGGCAACTGGACACGCATGTTACATAGAAGACTGGCGTGACGGCATCCCACCCAGAAGAGAGAGAGAGAGAGAGAGAGAGAGTGTGTGTGTGTGTGTGTGTGTGTGTGTGTGAAGGTCTGTGACTCAGAAAGCTGTTGTTTCTTTATACAAATGCCTCTCATTGCTTGGGCTTCCTTGTGTGTGTGAGTGAAGATACTGCTGGGCCTTCCAGGATGGAGGTGAAGATAAAGGGAGACACATGTCAGAACCTTCCCTGCTGAGAGAACTGAGACTTTCCTTTACAGACAAGTGCACAGCCCTGCAGAGGCCTGTTCTGCTGGATCTGAGCTGCCATGAAGCTAAGAGTGCAGTGCAGTCAGGGGCCGGTCGACCAGCTGGAGGCGGTCCCCACCCATTCCACACTTGAGCTGATGGACTCAAGAAATATGTCACATGAAGAATGATGACTTCCCTTTGTCTAGTCATTCATTTGTTATTTTAATGTGACTTCTATTTTTTTTTAATATTGGTTAACCTGTCCATATAGAAAAATTCTAAGATATGCAAGAGTGTGTGGTGAAAAATCTTTACTCATCATTTAATTCCCTCCCATAAGGTGATCATTGTTAGGTATTTTGGCGTCTCCTTCAGAAAGCTTCTATGTCTATGTAATCACACACACACACACACACACTGTTACACATATAGTAACATTATTTATTTATGCTGTTCTGCACTTTGCTTTTTGTTAATATAACTCAGATATTATTTTAATATTGAGACATAAATTGCCTTTGTATTCTTTTATACAACCTAACATGTTTGTGTGTGCATCATCATGTATTTAATCAATCTCCTTCTGATGTTATTTCCAAATCTTTGCTATTATAAATAATGCTGAAATAATAAATTGAATATATGTGATTTTTGTACATATGTCAGAATGATTGATAGAGTAAATCCCTAGAAGTTTGAGTTCTTCCAGAAGCAAATATGGAGACAAGAATTTGAGTGCGGTGAGCTCTGGTGGCCTAGCGGCAAGAAGTTACACTGCAATCCCAGAGGTGAGCAGTTTGAATCCAGCAGAGCATGAATCCACCAGATGCTCTGCTGGAGAAGGAGAGAAAATCTCCTTCTGTAGCAGTTAGATCTGATTTGATGGTACATACACACACACACACAAAAAAAAAAAAATTAAAAACCAATTTGAAAGGAGTTTCAAGAGGTGGCTTCAGGAGCTATCAGTAAAAATGAGGGGTGTGCTGGAGAAGGGAGGACAGGTGCAGGGAGGGAAGGAGTGTTATCAGCAGTCACCTCTGGACCCCTGGAGCTCATGTCCTACCGGGGACTCTAGGAGAAAATGTAGAATGTAGACTTCAGTGTTATTGTTGAGGAGGAGTATTGACTCTCCAATTACACAATCCCAGACTGGAAGCGTTGATTCCCTGACACTTCTGGTCTGCCCTGGGTGTGCGCAGAGGAGGCTCTGGTAGCCAGAAAGAGAGATCAAAATGCTGTTGGTTCCAAGTTTGACAGACCCCGGCAAGCCCCATAGGGCGGTGGGCGGGACACCAATACCCTGTGCTACAAATGGCCATGTTGTTGTGTCCCTTGGAGTGGCACTGATCCATAGCTGACCCTTTGGCGGGTTTTCAGAAGCAGTTAACCGCACAGGAAGACAATGTCCATTCTTCTCAGCAGGGGGCCTTGAACCCTGGACCGTAGGCCTTGGGGATTGCAGAGCAAGTTCTTGCCACCATGCCACCAGAGCTCCCGATTGTTACATGTAACTTTTTGATAGTTATGTCCTGGTAGCCCTCTGCCTTTAGAGGAGGTACTTTTTCCCCCCTAGGAAAAAGAAAAAAAGTTTTATATTTATTTCCTGTAAAAGGTTTGTGCACAGTGCTAACAAATCATTTTTACAAATCTGCATTGAAAAGGTGGTTTATTTGAATTTCATGCTGTAAATTACTTCATCCATTGGGGCTTTTTTCCACTTTGTTTCTTGTTACAGCTCGACTCATACAGTTCTGAAGTTTAGTGCCAGTCGGCCCACGTCCACCTGGTTTGTGAAGACAGCACAGCTGGATGTCTTCGTCTCTTATTAAGTTGCCAGATTTTCCTCTTCTTTAGAGTCAACTATCAGTAAACTGTCAACAAATATGACAAAGGAAGTTACAACTGGGTAATTTCTAATACTCAAATAACTTTTCTTCTTTAACTTCTGCGAAGGCAGTTTCTTCATTTATAGTAACTTCAGACAACTGTACATTTTGTAAAGCTGCCAACAAGGCAAATGTGGTGGTGGTGGTGGTGTTATGTGCCGTCCAGTCGCTTGCGACTCACAGCGACCCTATGTACAACAGCCCTAAACTCCGCTCTGTCCTGTGCCAATCGCACTGTCTCTGACACTCCCATCCCAATTATCCCAGTCACCGAATCAATCCATCTCCTAGAGGGCCTTCCCCTCCTGTGCCTGTCCTCCACTCCCCCAAGCATGACGTCCTTCTCCAAGGACCAGTCTCTCCTTACAGCATGGCCAAAGTATGTACAGGCATCCAAAATGTTTCCAGCATGGTCGAGGCAAATGAAATCACAGCATAGAACCCAAGCAAGCTTTCCCTGAGAGATGCGTAAGTCTTCTTTCTGAGTTACCAGTGGATTTTCAGTGACATCTGCAATGGACTGGCTGGCCACTTGAGCCTTTTTGCCAGACTAAAAATCTCGATGAACACAGGTGTGGCAGATTCGCATTAGGAACTATAGACCCTTTATCAGGGCCAGCTGTTGGTGCTGTGAACTTCGCTTAAATTCCACAAATTACTGTAGTATTTCCTCGCTTCCCTAAAGCAGAACCATCTGCTGTATGGATTGAACTTATGTTGACAGTGGTAGTTCTGAATTCACCAAGTTCCCTTCTATCTGGACAGCAGCTCTCTTTGAAAAATCTCCTGTAATATTCCAGAGGCTCCACGGTTTTGAACCTGGCTGTCATCTTCGAAGGGGTACTATTTATGTCACACCAGCGATGCATGCGATTGCTGACCCTCCATTGCCAGCGCATCCCAACTCTCAGGCCAACTCTGCAAAGTGACCACCACTTTTTGTTGCTATTTGAACTTCCTGTAAGGAAGCAGAGGCTACAAAAATAGGTCACACCAACTGTCTGCGATCACCCAGACAAAAAGGGCCTGGAGCTGGGATTCAAACCTGCCTCCCTCTGGCTCCAGAGCTTTCTTCTTACTGTCCTGATAACCTTAGAGGAGCAGCAGCGGGTATGAGGGTGGTGTGAGGACAGAGTGCCTCTCATTAGGAGGACCCCTAGACATTACGGGTAGATGACTTTGAGGGGGGAAATGTTAAATTCCATGGGATGCATACACATAACAACAACCACAACCAAATCATTGCTCAGATTTTCTGTTCCAGATGTGACAGGAGGAAGGGGGCTGAGTTCTGCTTCGAGAGATGAGGAAAGGCTCCTCGTGGAGGGTAAGTCTTCATGCAAGTGAGGGTAGAGCTGCCCAGCCCAAGCGACAGCTAGAAAGATGGCAGAGGCTCTGGCGTGTGCGCTCTGCAAAGCTGGGTGTTTCCTTTTCCTTCTGCTTGCCATCAGACACCACTGCAAGGTGTCTAAGGCGGCACTAGCCCTTTGTGACCTTGCACGTCCCACACACGATCCCATTCATGTGATCCCACGCAATTTACTCCCCTGACTTAAAAACAAGATACAGTCTCAAAAATCAACTTCACAAAGTACGATTCATCCAATCTAAAAATGAACCCACTCTCAGCAAACACGTTGAAATGTTTTGTTAAATGTAGATACCCCAGCAATTACAACCGATGAGTACATGTAATTTCTCTGTCCCTCGGTAACTTCCCTGGGGACTGTTCCAGGCAGTGCTCATTGTCCACTATCCTCAGCTCGAGGGAACCACTGGTCTGCTTTCTGCTACTGAACATGAGACATCTTTTCTTGAGTTCATAGAAGTAAAAAGAGCATTCCTTCTTTCTTAACTTGAAAAAAAAGCCTCCCTATCTCAAGAACTCCTGAGGTGACCCAGGAGGAGATATGACCTTTGAATCCACAGCCACTTGCTCTGAAGATGTGGCGTTCACATTTTATCGCTGAATTGGAAACCTGGATTGAAGTCAGCCAGATAGGAGTTTTACGATAGATGAGAAAAGTAAATAATTTCAAGTGACAAATTACCCAAGTTACAAATAAACAGAGCCATAAATCTCAAATGATAAGCAATCAAACCAGGAAAGTCTGCTCTTGCTTTTAGATTCTAGGGTCTGGTCCCTTAGTTTAAAAAGAAAAGATCTTTACCGGGTCATTGAAGGTTGGATCAACTTAGTGCGAGCAGGTTAACCCTTTAATAGCCATTCTCCTCCTCTTAGTACTTTTAGATGTTTTTTTTCTTTCTAGATCACTGGGTAGGTTGACACGCTAATGAACTGAGCTTCCCTAGAAAAATTGCATTGGGAAAGTTGACTGTCAGGGACCTCTCCAGAGTACTGAAGAGCAATGACATAGGTTTGGAGACTAAGGTGCGCCTGATCTACACCATGGTCTTCACAATTACTTGCTATGCATCAGAAAGCTGGACAATGACTAAAGATGATAGAGAATTGATGCCTTTTGAGCTATGGTGCTGAAGAAGAATACTGAATACACCATGGACTGCCAGGAGAACAAACAGGTTCCTCCTGGAGAGGGTGAAACCAGGCTGCTCATTGGAAGCAAGGATTCTGAGGCTTTCTTTGCCTAACATACTTTGGACACACTGCAAAGACAGACTAGTCCTTGGAGAGGGACGTCATGCTTGGAAGGGTGGAGGGACAGCGCAAGAGAAGAGGACCTTGGATGAGATGAATTGATTTTAGTGACTAAGATAACAGGGGTAGATGTGTCAGAGACAATAAGATTGGCACAGGATAGAGCAGGTTTCATGGCTAT